CTCCTCATGGCTGCAATGGCACAGCATCCTAGAAGAACCTTCCAGATGGGTTTTGATTTTGTTGTTGTTCCTGTTGTTGCTTCTCTGCAAACAGATCTGAGTTGCAGTACTGCTCCTGTCCAGTGCAGACTGGGGAAGTTGCCAGGAAGTTGTGCCCAGGGGCTGGGAGACACAGTCTGCTGTTTCTAACCTATTTTGCTTTCCTTTAATTCTCATATCTCCCTAGACATAGCGGCGAATCTCTGAAGAGACGTGTACCTACTACCTGGGCTCAACAGCCTTACACCTCCGCACTCAGCATCTCCAACACTCACCACAGCTACTAGACGTGTGCCTGACCAGGAAGAGATGCGGGGAAGAGAGGTAAGCAGATAGTGACAGTGACTTGAGAGACAGTCAACATCTGCTGAAGGCTACCACACTTCAGGTGACAGCCCTGGTGCTGCAAGGGTAAGGTGACTTATGCTCGGTCTTGCACGTGGCTCAATCCCTTCTAAAGCTACCAGCTCTGCGAAGCTGGGGGCAAAGCTGCACTCTGGGTTGTTACTTCTCTCTCCACTCCGCAAGCCTGTAGGTTGTGCGCCAGTGGGCTCATTTCTTCTTTCTCCTTATGCTGTTTGACATGAGTGCACGCGCGCGCGCGCGCGGGGTGGAGGGTGTTATCTCATGGAGCCAAGTTAGGCTTGAACTTGCAGCAATTCTCCTGTTTCACCTTCCCCAGTGCTGGGATTCCAGGCATGAGTCATCGCTCTGCTCTTAAAGAGGAAACAGAGAAGACAGTGGTGGCAAATGGCACAAGAAGGGGTTCCGCTGGCGAACAGGTCTACAAGGTCCCTGAACCAGGGCTCACTTCCACCTCGGTCGCGGTCCCATTTGAGTCAATGTGGAGTGAAGACTCCAAGGACGGGCCATTCTCCCCTCAGGCTCCAGGCCTGGCGGAGGTGCAGCTTGGTTGTTCGTGAACCTCACTCCTCAAACCCTTGTCCTGGGCATCTTCCAGGAGTCCAGGGTAGGACCGACCCTTCTCTTTTCTGCCCTCACTTCAACTGGTGGGAAGTTAACAAAACACCTCTCGGGAAGCCTTCGGTAATCTAGGTAGGGCTGGCAGTAGTCAGAGCCCTGCCCCGGCAGCCCTTTGTTAAGCATCATAAGCATGTGAACAGGACTAAAGAAACACTGCCCCAACCCTGAATACCCGCCTAACTTCCCTGCAGAGTGACTCTCAGGAGGGGGTTTTCTCCAGCGGCCCGGGGATTTGTCTGCCCAGTTGGTGGTTTGATCTGCCCTATCCCCCTCCTTCCCACCGCGCGCAGGTACGGAAAACGAGCTCAGAGAGGAGCCATCTTTTGCCCGAAGTCACACAGCGAATGTCCGCGGAATGGAGGGCAGTGGTGGAATTCCTGGCGGCCCTTGGCGCCCATTTGTCTGCCCGCTTCTGATACCCGGGTTCGGAGAATAGGCCTCTAACAAGCGGCCCATTAGAAGGAATTGTCACTCCTCCGGGAGTGAGGTTGTCCCATTAGGGCGAATTGTCATTCCTCCTGGAGCGAGGTTGTCCTGGCTCCGCGCAGGCTGAGTGCCGGGCCGAGAGCAATTAACGCGGCTCCGGCGCGGGCAGCCGCCTCTGCCCCGGGCAGCGGGGGCGGGGCGCCCGGCGCGGCTGGAGCCGGTCACCCGGCGCAGCCCCTTCCCCCGGAGCCCGCCTTTCATCTCCCCGCGCCTGGCGCCTACCCGCAGCCCTGGCCCGTCTACAGCCTTCTCTGCCCCTCCCCCGGCCCCTCCTAGCCACTGGGATCCAGCGAAGCGTCCTCGGGGTTGCAAACGCCCAGGTCGGTGCTCGGGCGCTTCCCAGTTTGCAAGGAGTGCCTTCACCTTGGAGTTCGGGGCGCGCGTGCGCGGCTGTTCCTCGTAGGGTCCGGACTCCTGTGACACGCACCGAGGGAGTGGGAAGCTCAGGAAGATGCAAGCTTAGGCCCAAGGGGAATTCGAGAGTGTCTCACCTTCTGTTTGCATGATTGGGCAGCTTCCTACTCCCAGGCTTTTCCATCGTTAGACAGAGATACAGTCTCCGCCTGTAGTGATGTGTTTGAAAAGCAAATGAGATCCTCCTCAAGTTCAGGCTCTTGGACAAGGTGTAAAGGGGATGCTTCTTGGTAGCTGGGTTCTTCTTGGAACCCCACTTTAACCACTTCAAGCATTAAAGCTGAATAAACATTAACTAACCATCCCGGAGTTAAAGTTTATGGTGTGCGTGCCTGCGTGCGTCCTAGGTGTCAAAGCCAGTCCTCCGCTCCGGGAAGACCCCCAAATCTATTTCAGGCTGTGACATCTCTACTCTGAGATTTTACATAGAGCCTGCCTCGGGGACGGTGAAGGCCGGTGATAGCTCCTTATTTTCGTGTACCCGAGACAAAGAAAGCGTTGGATAAATTAATGTTGCTTTTTGATATACAAGATTATTTCCAATTTGATTCCCTACCTCCACTACTTTATGATACCCACTGAAGCTAATTCCAACAAAAGCCATCCGGAGAAATGGCTGCCCCTTATGTTTGAGCCACGGAGAAAACGCAAATAAAATATTCTGAGGGTGTGCAAAACTCTTGCAGCAGATGGGGCTTTCCAGGAAGGGCTAACTGTGTCCGGGTTCTTTTCCTCACTGGTCCCCACTCTAGTAGACTTAGGGAGGCACCTGGCCTGGGGATGTGGAGCGCCAGCTGTCTCCTTGGCCATGCCTGTTCATGGCCAGAACTTGGCACCCTGGAGAGCAATACTAAATATTCCTTTTCCCCCCCCATCTCTCTCTGTGTCTTATCATTTCCCCAAAATAGTGAGGGAGAGCTTGGATTTTCCTCTGCCAGAAGAAAATTAAAATAAAGGCATTCCAGTGGAATTAATCCCCCTTCCTTTTTTAAACTTCCTAGGAATCAGCCTGTGTCCTAAACTGACACGTTTCAAGGCTGGGGTTTGGGATTCTTTAGAAAACATTGGCTGGGTTCAGTCCAACTGAAATGTGGACATTTTGGCAATGGAGGGCTAAACGAATTTTAGATTTACTTCCAAAATATATGACCCCACATCTTGCCTCATTCATTGAGAAGGCACCGAACTTAATCTGGGTTTACCTGTATTGTATTTGAGATTCCTATCATCAGATATGACTCCAGGGAAAAAGCATGCATCTCCAGATAGACCTCTTTCATAGTCTTCTGTCTCTGGGCTTCCAGTTTGAACAACAACAACGACCTAGTGTTGTGTCTTATGGTAGGAGAAAGTTCCTAAGTTGTTTTTATAGAAGACTCCTTTAGAACTTAACTTTTAAAAAGCTTTTCCAAAACTGAACTGAATTATCTAGTGAAGGCTTTTTATCCTATACGATTTTATCCCCCTTGGGTCTCCTCAGACCAGGGACATCTACTCCAGCAGTGTTTGGAGCAATGAACACTGTTTCAGAGAGGTCCTCTGAAAAGGGTTTGGGTCTGTAGGTCTAGTAGTCAAGTTTCTGAGACTCCGGAGCTGGGAGGTACCTGCCAACCTTTGGTCAGCTAAACTATTTAAAACAATGGCCCTTCCCTGGTGCTGGAGGAACTGTTTAGCTTGAAGCATTTGCTGTTCTGAACCTAGGCTGAGCAGGATTCTCTTTCCCTCACCACAGACTTGTCTTTTGGATACAGGAAAAAGCTTATGAGGCCTGAAATGTGTGTTTTGAGACAATCTGTCTCTGACTGCTGGCCTGCGGGCTCAGAACTATCCCAGGCCTCTGTTTTCAAACTCTTTTCTCCTTCAGTGTGTTGCTGCAGTTGATCACTGATGCCTTAGGATTGTCTTCAGTTAGAGAGAGTCATTTAGGGTGGGGTATGGATAGGTATGCAGCTTAAAATTTCAAGTCAGGTGAGATGTACTTTCCCCAGAGATATTCAGAATTGGCATTTGCAAACTTGAAGACTGTTATTTCCAAGATTTGCAGGGAGAATAAAGACACTAAATATCACAAGTACCCTTCTACCCCCCAAGTATCCATCACCCCCCAAGGAAATTCCTGACACCTGAACTCCAATGACAAACACAAGCTCAAAACCTCATGAACACACATTTGCACTGGTCTAGAGAGGAGATTCAGGGAGCAAGAAAATACACGCACTTCCAGTTTCTAAAAATAGTCCAGTTTGGAGACAGGACGAAATGGAGACCATTTGTATAAATCTGCCACTAGGAATCAATAGGTGCCAGGTCTGCTGTCGCATACCTATAATCTTAACACTCGGGAAGAGGCCAGGGGCGATCTCAGCAAGTTCAAGACCATCCTAGGCCACATAGTGAGCGACTTCTAAGCTAGCCGGAACTGGAGAGCAAGAGCATGTTTTAAAGGAAAAGAAAAGGGAAGACAGGGGAAGGAAGAGATTAGCTGGCATCCCTTGGTCACCTCGGCCTCCCTCATCTTGAGGAATGAGTTAAAGTAACAGTTAACGTCTTGGAACCCTCTCCAAAGACTAGGCGTTTCTAAGCACCATGCCGAAACTATTTCCATTAGCAAAGATGCTGGCCACTGTTTTCCAACTATAGTTACAAAGTTACACTACTTTGGGCTCATAGTAGGAGTGTTAGAAATGTTCCAGGAATGCCATCTGCGGATTTCCAGTGTTCCCGGGCGAGAGCGTGTGGGATGGGCACCAGGTACACTTGAAAGAGAGGTTAAAAGACTGAAGAAATGGGACTCGGCAAGCTTCCTCTTTAAACAATCGGCTTTAATTACGCCTTGGACTTTTCAGTTTGGGCGATTATAACCCTTGAGGGATCGCCTAATAACAACTCTGCTGACTGCTCCTGTAATTAACTCCTAATTTATTTCAAACGGGGGGGGGAGGTGTTTAGGGGCCCCAGCCTCTCCAGAGAGAGCCAATCAGAGGCAAGCGTCCGTGGCGTCAGGAGCAGGGCCGTCGCCAATTGGCTGAGCCGAGTCTCCCACTTCCCCTCGGAGGACAGGCTGGGCTCCCGGCGCGCCCCTGCCGGCTCCCCCCCCAAAAGTTGGAGTCTTCGCTTGCAAGTTGCCAGCGGAGTCGCGCGCCGAGAGCTAGACGGCGCAGAAAGTCATGGCTTCTCCGGCCAAAGGCAGTGACTTGTTTTCGTCAGATGAGGAGGGCCCCGCGGTGCTGGCCGGCCCGGGCCCGGGGCCTGGAGGTGCCGAGGGTAGCGCGGAGGAGCGCAGGGTCAAGGTCTCCAGCCTACCCTTCAGCGTGGAGGCGCTCATGTCCGACAAGAAGCCGCCCAAGGAGTCGCCCGCGGTGCCACCCGACTGCGCCTCGGCTGGCGCTGCCCTGCGGCCGCTGCTGCTGCCGGGACACGGCGTCCGGGACGCGCACAGTCCCGGCCCTCTCGTCAAACCCTTCGAGACCGCCTCGGTCAAGTCGGAAAATTCCGAAGATGGAGCGGCGTGGATACAGGAGCCCGGCAGATACTCCCCGCCTCCCAGTGAGTGCGCGCCGGGGACCGGACCCGGGCAGGATCCGCGCGTGGGGTCCCAGAGGGGCTGGGGACGGGTGTTAACAGGATGATGCTCTTGACCCCTGGAAAGCCCAGTTCAGCGAGCGGTCTGCAACCCACAATCCCTAGCTGCGCGAAGTCTAAGGTACCTGCGCGCTGGCTGGCATTTTGAAAACCAAAGCCCAGTTGTTGGTTTCTGCAGCCCTTAAGTCCCTACTCTGGACGCTTTTTGCTTGTGTTTCACTGCCTACTATGTTACCTGCCCCGGCAGTAGGGAAGGGTCACTGATTCGTTTCCTTAAGACAGGGTTTCTTGTGGGTCCTGCTGGTCTCGAACTCGATATGCATCTCAGGATGGTCTTGAACGCCGCGTCCTCCTGCTTCTAAATGTTGGAATTACTAGGGTGCACCACCACGCCGGGCTGGGATCCATTTCTAATTAGTATCGAAATGTGTTTTACTGACCTTCAATGCACAGGCTGCCCTGCGAAATGCGCCCCACCGTAAAGATAAACCAATTGGAGGTTAAGCAGATGTGAAGGGGAAATCATTGGTTTTCTTAGAATCTGACTTGATCCTACGATGGCATGGTGGCAGAGGCTGATTCGGAAAGGAAGCTTCTCCGTGTTCTAGTTGTTGCTTAGGTTCTGAGTTTTGCTGTGAGCTAGTTAACTCGGGCCAGACCCCCATGGGCTCTCCTGGGTTCACAGTCATAATTGCCAGCCTTTCTTCAGAACTTGTGAGTATACAGTGTGGTGGCCACGGCCACAGGCTCACCAGGTCTGGCTGCTTGTTAGAACCACAGTACAGGCAGAGGCATGCCACCTGTAGCTAGCTACCTCTTCAGACACGATGGCTAGTGTTTTAAGAGGACTGTGTTTGCTTGTCCCGGGTCACCATCCATGCTTGCATTGTGCATGGGGGTCTGGTGTCCCTGCTTTCTCCGACCCTCTATAGCGGGGCTGGCCATATTGAACTTTTACACCTGCACCCCTGGGACTTCTAGTGAGTCTGTGTTGACTGCCTTCCCAGGCTTAGCATCCCTTTAGGGTCCTGGGTCCTTTTGCTATTAATATTTCTGGGGCCCACTCCCTGCAGCTCTGTTTAATTTTATCTCTTGACCTTTGCTATTTTATCTGCTCTATTGCCTTTTTTCCTCACCCCCCCGGCCTCCCCCTTGCTAAACTTTGGGAAGGTTGAGAAAGGGCTGGGTTTGTGGAGGGACTTTCCAAGCTCAGCTGGAAGAGAAGCTGTCTTCATTTCCACCTCTCAGCCCTCAGGACTAGAGATACGTGGTATTTTGTGAACAAAACAAGACCATATACCCAGGCGTCAGTGGCTGTCCCCTCTGGCAGTCTCTCTCCACCCTGTTGGAAATTCTGAAAGGCAGAAAGGGCCCAGAGATTAAGGACTTAAAGAATTTAACTCAAGTTTGCACAGTGCTTTTCACTACATTATCTTATCTGATCTCCTTTGTGTGGCAGCAGAGAGCCTCTTGTTAACAGATGACGACTCTTCTTAGCAGAGTGCAGAGAGATCAGCATTTGGGCCCATGAAAAAAGCTCTTGGGAACATTTATTTACTCATCACCCCGAGTAGGGTTCTGGGCACTCCAAAACAGTACTCCAAGCCACCCAAGGGATAAGTAGTATCCATCCGTTTTATTGGCAGTGAAATGAAGGCTCAACCACGTGAAGAGTCTTAACTTGTTTAACAAATTTGGAGTGCCTGTGTATTCCGAGGCCCCGGGCAATGCCCCGCAGCACATCTAGGATTCCAGCCTTAAAATGCAATGGCGGCCAAAGGTCAGAAATCCTGGCATATTTAGGCCTGGAGTCTGGGAGGGCAGACTCTGTAACTTCTTTACAGAGGGCTGTGCTCCATCCATGTCTAGATAATGCCTTTTTTATAAGAGAAACTAGGGCCTCTCAGAGAAGGCTTCGTTTGAAAACATAGGACCCAGAGAGTGTCTAGAATCATCTGGGAGCTGGCGGGGGTTGGGACCCACTAACCCTGGTCCTGGTTTTGTTATTTAAAGAAAGTAGGCTAAAAGTTGTTTTGCCTTGGCTGATACAATAGGGTGGGGAAGAGCTTGGGAGTGGTGGGGGGGAACTTTCTCTTGTCATGACTTTGCCACATATGCACAATCCCCATGGCCTGGACTTTGTAAGTCTCCAAGCCTGAGCAAGAGTGACCCAAGCTACCCTGGTTCAAAACGCCTGTGGAGCCAGCAGCAAGGAGTGCAATCAGTTGAAGTCTGGAAGGGAGCCGGCTTGGGACTGGATGCCTTGGTGTTGGTGTGTGAGTTTGGAGGAAAGCCCTTCCCCTTGGCTTGCTTAAGGTTTAGCATATGCAAAATCAAGGCCTTTTTTTGAACTCTCTTACCCATTTTTCCTTCCAGATTTCTGTTTTCTGATCGCAGAACCTGCCATTTTGTAAAGTTACAGTTAATGTGACACTAGGACAGGCTGGGTTGGGACTTGTGCTGTGTCACTCTCAAGTATGAAGTGCAAATTCTTCTTTGGGCCACCAAAGTAACTAAACAAGAAATGTTACATTCCCCTGCGAATACACAGGAGTAACCACTCTGGCTACTTTAGAAAAATTAGAATATCTTGTAAAAGCCAAAAGCAGAAAAATAATTGTTTAACATTCTATTCTTGTCACTTTACACTCCTCCCCTACTCATAAGGAAAACAAGACCAGAATTAGTTTAGCTGCTGCCTTGGAATCACCTTGAGGCCCTATCCCTGTGCTTCCTATTACAACCCATTTTAAACAGAGTCTGGACGCTGTTGCCATGTCTTTATTTTGCTCGTTATTTCCACTTCTAAATTCCCAACAACAAAATAATCATTTACACATTTGCCCTAAATCATGGAATGGATGAAAGACTAAGATGCCATCATCATGGACTCAAAGTTCAGAGGCGGAGTGATTTCCCTTGACATGTCCGTTTATGAGCGAGCTAATTTTCCCCCATCTTAGTAAAGTTTATACTGCCAGAGGACACGGCCAAGAAATGCATCCCACATCCAGATCTGTAAAATGATGTTGGGGTTTTATAACCTGTAGGGTGGATGGAATGACAGCTGTGTGGTTGTTTATTGCCTAGATGTGTCTGTCCATCCATGGATGCTATTATTATACCGCAGGCCTTATCTGTGTGATTATCCTTCATAAACAGGCTGATGCAACCCAACTCTTCTGGCTGAGAAAGCTGTCCAAGGCTAACCCAACATCTAACACCCTTTTCTTTCCGCGCTCAATATGTGTGCCTCTTAACCATTGAAAACACATGAGTTCAGGCTCCCATTTTAAAGACAAGAGATTAAATTCTGAGGAAGTTTTATTTCTTAGATAGTGCTCAGCTTCTGTAACTTATAGAAGGCTTTAGTCGTGGTTTCTATTTCCATTTTCTGCAATGCAATATGTTTTTCATATAAGAAGTTTCATGACCACATTACTCAAGCCGATATAAAAATATAGCAACTGCCATTTAAATGTGGTCCTTTTCTACCACTACTTGTCAATAACACGTGTGTGTGCATGCTTGTGTGTGTGTGTGTGTGTGTGTGTGTGAGACACACAGATTTGGCAAAGGTACCCCTTTGAAAAATGAAACAAGGTTTATGTGTTCTCTTAGGCCAGGAGAGAGTGGCACATTAACTAATTGATTCCCCTCTGTTCTTTAGGACACATGAGCCCTACAGCCTGCACCCTGAGGAAACACAAGACCAACCGGAAGCCACGCACACCCTTTACCACATCCCAGCTTCTAGCCCTGGAGCGCAAGTTCCGCCAGAAACAGTACCTCTCCATTGCAGAACGGGCCGAGTTCTCCAGCTCTCTGAACCTTACAGAAACCCAGGTCAAAATCTGGTTCCAGAACCGAAGGGCTAAGGCAAAAAGACTGCAGGAGGCGGAACTGGAAAAGCTGAAAATGGCTGCCAAACCTATGCTGCCCTCGGGCTTCAGTCTGCCTTTCCCTATCAACTCACCGCTGCAAGCGGCGTCCATTTACGGAGCGTCCTACCCCTTCCATAGACCTGTGCTTCCCATCCCGCCCGTTGGACTCTATGCCACACCGGTTGGATACGGCATGTACCATCTATCCTAAAGACCAAACGGACAGACTCCAGGATGGATGTTTGCATAAAAGCATTCCCCTCCCTCTCCAAGAAGACGGTGCCAGTCCAACTCCAGCTTCAAATCTCGCACCGCCACCCTAAGCAACAGGGCCCAAAGGGCACTTGATACAGAGTGAATTTGTTATTTAGGTGAGAGGCACCAAGACCTACTTTGTTTTCATAATCTTCCAAATGTCCCCTTTTCCTCTCACAAATATTGGCTCTGCTAGTTTTTATGTATAAATATATAATAAAATATAAGACATTTTTATATGCCAGATGTAAAAATTCAAGTTATTTTGAAAGGCAAAGTTTATATATGCATTTATCCATTTTTCTAGATAGCATCTTAAGATATTGTGTTAAGTCTGTTTGCTACATTTTCTTAAAGGGAACGAGATTATTTGTAGAATAATCTACAAATAGGATCTGAGAGAATGGTGAACTTGCTTCTGGAGCACATACCAGAAGTAGACAGGGTGCACACAAGGATGCGATTCAGATAGATTCTTGCAAATGAAGGCAGGTGTGTGACACGCCTGCATTTTATGTGCATAAGAAAAATCTCCTTTGAGATGCACATGTGATCCTATTTTCCCTCCTTTTCTCCCTATTACCTTTCCTTTTTTTAATTAAGGTCCTTGAGAGGAGGCTAAGAATAACCCTGAGAACTCCTCAGGGCAGGGCAGGAAATCAGAAAACTTGGTAACTCCTGTCAGGTTGGCCTTTACTCTGGCCCAAATAGATGGAGTTAGAGTTGAAAGAGTAAAACGTGTTTGGAAAAATTGATTTCTGTGAAATGCTAATTACATCAGTCTCCACACGTTGCAGAGGTGATGGGGGAGGGTGTGGTAATTGTCTGCTTAAAAAACAATGTCTTGTTACTATTATCTCTATTTTAAATATTCTTCAACAACCCATAGAATCAGGAAGGAAAAAAAAATGCTTTCCGTATGTGTGCTTACTGTATGTGCTAAACTTACTAGGGAAAATGTATTACTCTAACATGTTGGGGGCAGAGGGTGAAGCCGTCTTATTGACTTGGCTGGAAATGGTGTTGTCAGACGACACAGTCAGCTCCTTGGTATTTCATCTTCCTGCCCATCTCTTCCACCAGTATATTTTTTATCCCGTTGAAAGGTATCTTGTATAATTTTATATATTTTATTGAAGAGTTATTTCTTATCTCTTACTCTGAATTAAATTAAAATGTTTTATTGCAGTAAAGTTTGTCCCAACTCACAGTTATTTTCAAAAGCACTCTATTCTTTGCTAGATGGGGTGGGAATCATCCAGATAAGAGGGGAAAACTGGCAATTTTAATTCTTCCATTAATGTAAATCAAATCGAGTTGTGGCCAATTTGGGGTGGCAGAGGAGTCAGCTGCAAGTCCTGGGACACTTGGAAGTGTCAGCTGGCAGCCTGTATGGCTGAGGGAGAAGCTGTTGAAATTGCCACTAAAAGTTTGTCAGGCTGCAGTAAAGGTGGGCTCTTTAAAGTGGTGACTCGACGCTCCCAGACCCTGCTCGTCTGCAGATGGTCTTGCGAAATGACGCGGTGTTCCCCAGACTCCTGATAGTCTGTAGATGGTCCTGGGAAAATCTTGAACTTGGAAATTTGCAACCACCAGAACAAGTAAAGCTCAGAAAGGGGGCCTTACAGCTCTGTGCTGGTGGGAGCAGAAGGAGCTTGCGCGGTTGTGAAACCTGAAAGGATGCAGGGTGGGTCCCGGAAGAGCACAATTTTCTCTTTAGGGCTAACCGGCCCACCTATCCCAAAAGAACTTGGGAGCCCTCCCTGCATCAGCCATAAAAATGAGAATAATGGTGGGGAGACTGAAGAGGATTTTCAAACCCAAGTTTTCCTTTGTGCTGGAGATGCGTTTCTTTTTCCTTCGGCGGCGCTTCTGTCAGCTCGGGGATACAGAGATGAGGGGCCTAAGAGCGTCGTGGTGTGACTGATGACTGCGGAGCAGAGTTTGGCACTTCCAGGGAGTTGCCAGCGCATGGCACTCACCTTGGAGGTGGGCATCCGAAAATCCGTATTTGTGGGCTCATCACGGCGGTCGGGCCCCTTTCCTTAGATAAAACCTATCCCGCACACACTGGAAGTTGGAGGATGGCATCCTGCAGCCTGACTACCGCTCTCAGCTGAGCCGCGGGCGGTTCCAGAGCCACCAAAATGCGCGCTTCTGCTTCTCTTCCGGCCTCTCGGTCCATGAACTCCAAATTGCAGGCCAGAATCTGCCACATTCATTTAAGAGAAGCGTTTCCCAAACTCCTTCCCGGTTTCGTCATCAGTAGCTAAGGGGGTCCCTAATTACCCTGTCCACAGAGCTTCCTTCCCGGCGCCTCGTGGACCAGTAACCTCAGGCGGTGATAGCCGGGGTGGGGACCTGGACTCGCCGGCCACCGGGTTAAGACTCAGCTTGCCTCCGGAGGTAAGGTATTAAGTCCGGAGTATGATTCTGAGAACCCAGTGGGACAAGTGGGGTAAAGTGGAATCAGGCTGGCTGGGCATCACTCACGTGATCCCACACCCAATACTCAGAAAGGAAAGCCGGGAAGAGTTGATCTGACTCAAGCAACGGATTCAGCGCTCCAGAGTGAACAGGCTTCCCCCGCCGAGGATTGCAGAACAGACCCATGTGCTGTGCTCTGGGCTGCCTACCACCCTTCTGTCGAGGTTGGGTCTCACCTGGGTCAAGCCTGCTCCAGCACAGGGTGTTTCAGAGACCTGAGGAGGCTAAAAGACCTTCGCTTGCCCAGGACCCACACCCGCTGAGACAACTGGAAGTTAAAAGTCCAGGTACTCCTTTGAAGTCTTTGGTCATCTTGGCATCCACTGCCAGGAACCCGGCATACGGACACACCTGCCCTTCCATCCTTCAGTGCTTCCCACAAAGACAACAAAACAAAAACTTTGTTCACACTCATTGCGTTTTAAAATAGGGGGAAAGGAACAGGAGTTTGCATAGATGGAGCTAAGGAGCCGGTGTTTAGGGTTGAAGGGGGCATCTTTCTTGAACTAGTATCTGTCACACATCCTTCGGGGAGGTTCTACTTGTCACAGACAGTCGGGGAAACTGATGCCCAGAGAGGTAGCTCACTGAAGTCACAGAGGATGGCTGGGGAATCCAGTTGACGGGTGAGCAGAGGAGGTGGTGAGCATAGAAGGCGCGCTCAGAAAGCAGGCGGGGATCTGGAGGGCGGCTTGGGAGTTCTGCACCGACTCTCGGCCCTCGTTGCAAAGGGGCTTCCGCAGGGCATCTCCATCCCATTGGCCCCGGGGACCCGGGCCGCCCCTCCCCCTCTCGGCCCTGCTTTGGGGATGCGGGGGCAGGGGCCGTAGGAGGTAGGCCGCTGAGGCCTGGCTGAGAGCGGGGAGCTGGCGAAACGTCTGCCTGACCCGACTGAAAAGAGGATGCCTGCCTTTGAGCGCAACCTTGTCTGACCGACTGAAAACTCCCACGGCCATTCTTCGCTCTGAAAGCCTCTCATTTGCCACGGGTTGGAGAGGCCATTGCCCCACCCCCATTCCTTTCCCACTGCCGGGCTGGAAATAAGCATAAACCTCATTTATAAAGGAACCCACGTCACACACACACACACCCTCCCCAAAATCACAGGGCCTGGTTGGTGAAGTCGATTGTGCTTGCTTCTCCTTTCATGTACGAACAACAAAAAAAATCCGAGATTGGTGATGGTACAGGCCGCTTTAATGAAATAAAGTAGTCACAGCAAGGAGGAAAAGCCTCCTGTCAACCTCCAGGCCCCTGTGCCCGCCCCTCACCCCAGACACCCTCTCCCCCCCCCCCCAGCCCTCCCGGAACAAAATGAGCAGCAGTAAAACGGCTTTCTGGAATAGCCCGCTTCAAAGCGGAGCGGCGGACTCGCTGCAGACTCCTCGGTACTGCCCCGATAAGGCTCTAATAGCCGAATCCAAACTGCACACACCTCCGACTTTCCAGCCTCCTCCAACCTCGCTGCATTTGTTGATGAAAACACTTTGATGTCCTGAGTCCTCCAATAATTATTATTATAATTTTAAACAACCTGGTATTTTCCATTACTAACGGCTCAAGCTTTGAAGTTACACCTCATAATTTCCTAAATTAAATAAATCATTTTAAGTTTGCACTGGGAGGCTTTTAATAGCAGAGAAAGGAATATCATTATCTTATTGAGACCCAATTGTGGTGGCTCCAGCTTGGCTGTAGCTAGGGGCAAAGCAGACCTAGTCTAACAGACATACTTTATTAACCTCCCATAACTCTTGAAAGAACAGTTTTATATTTTCTTTGATTTCCCCCCTCCCTCTCTTATTTTAAAGCTGTCCCAACCTTTAATTAGTGCTTAATATGAAAAGCATTATGTTTTTAATGCTATGTAATTTACCAGCGGCAACAGGCCAAGTTAACAATTGTTTATTAGACTTGGTTTTTCACACAGGGCAAAGAATGCCGCTCTAAACCCAACTTTTCATGGGTGGTTGCACTAATTAATACAGTGTCTGAAGCTCCTAGGGTTTTTTTTTTTTCTTCTTTAATATTGAAGCATATGAGGGCGGAGGAGGTTTTCAAAGTTCAGCTCCTGCGGACGACTTTCTGTGACTTCTTTCATGCTGTTTTGTCCTGTCTGTGAAGTTAACACAGGCAGAAACTGTTCCCTGGCTCCCTAGACGCCGAGATCCCAGCAACAGCAAGGGAACCCCGAGCACCTCTGCTTGTGATTTATGGCTTATGGGGCCAGGCACGGGGGCTCAGGGGGATCCATTGCTCATTCCGGGCTTAGGGTGGGGTCGCCCCCTCATCCAGCCTGCAAGGGGTGCAGAGCTGGCCTGATGCCTTAGGTCTGGGCCAAGCAAATGCGCCCCGGGCAACAGAGTGCTTGACGTTGGGCAGAGTTTGCCGGGCTGAGGCAGAAACTGGGGTAAAGGGGTGCGATGAAGGACAAGCTGAGACCCAGGCCGGTCGCCCTGCCCTGCCGTCCATCTGACCCTTGGCGTCCTTCTCCTTCCTCGTTCTTTTGTCGCATTTCCTTCTCTCGTCTTTTGTCCTCCCCCCCTCACTCTCCCCCCTCCTTCTGTTGTTCCTTCTTTATAATCTTCCCCTCTTTTATTTTTCACGCCCATCCCACTTTATGTCTCGTTAATTTTTCCTGTCTCCGATTTGTTTTCAATGCGCTCATCCTGGCAACTTCTCCCACCCACTCCTTTCTTCCCTCCTCCTTGCAGATGCATTGCTCCTCTCAAATCTCTCACACCCCCGTTTTCTAAATTACTACCATCCCCACCCTCCTCTGGCCCTCTTCTTGCTTCCAGTTTTCCTTCTGTCCCAGCAGCTCGGAGCAGGCGGATGTCGTCGGGTCCGGAGCGGCTCACTCAGCGCCTGGTGGCTCGGCACTGCGCTCTCTCGGGGGGCTGCACCTGGCTAGGCAGCCTCTGACCGACCTGGGTGCAGAAAGGGGCCACGACTCCAAGCCAGAAGGACAGAATACGGGGCGCGAGGCCCCTCCCGCCCCTCCCGCAGCCAGCCGCCCGTTTGAAGTCGCGAGCCCGGCAGGAATGCAGCCGGGTTATCAATCACCCAGCTGGATCCCTAAGGTCTCAGCCTAATCACATTTAATTGCTCGTGGAGGCCCATTCTCGCCCCCGGCTCGCCGCCCCGCTCAATTACTCCCCAAATACCTGCCATCAATAAATGTGCACTGACACCGGGCCTGGCCGGCTCATCTAGCCCAAGAGATTCCAAGCGACCAGGTACCCCCGACCCCACCTCTTCGTTAAAACTTACACTTCGAATCCCAAGGGAAGGAGCAGCGCAGAGGACCCCCGCCCTTGGTTGAGCGCTCCCCAAGGGGGCAGGCTCTGATGCTCAGAGACTTACATTCATCTTCTCCTTTCAGGGAATAGGATTTACTTGGACCTTAGTAGTGCCCGAGGTGGTCAAGACAAGCAACTGGGGTGAAACCTTGCCACCCACCTTAGCCACTGCCGCTAAACATGAGACAATAGTGCCTCCCAGAGGCCATAGGTTTGCCTCCACGTCCCTCGCGGCGGTGCGCTGGCCAGCCGCTTCTCCAGCCCTCAGGTGCCAGTCTGCTGGCTGCCGCTTCGTGAAGCAAGAAAGCTTGGACTCATTTTCCAGGGAGCCCGAGGCACGAACTGAGCAGGAGAGAGCCAGCTCCAGACTGAAGCCCTGGGTCCCCTCGCCTACTGTTATAGGA